TACAGAAATACACATGATTTCTCATTAAAATGATAAAAATATGTGGTAGATGGTTGGACTGTATGATTCGGTTGGGCTTTAGGATGAACCGTAGTCAACTTTTTTGTCTACTGCTTTCCTGTTAAGGTAAAAATAGAAGTTAAAGATGTTATTTTCTATAGTGCACGTAAGTGTATGTTAATGACTACTGTAGTCTTCACCCCACCCATTTCCTGTATGTTTTTTTGGCTTTCTCGTAGCTTTAGAATTTTGTTGAGAATAAAAAGAATTCTTTACTTTTTAATGAATATCTTCACTATGAGAACAATGAATGAAGAAAACCAGAAGAGTATAATCTGCAGCTGATTAACTTGAAACCTTTTTTTTTTTAACCCTTTCCAACAAGTGAATGAAGTTTGGTATTTTCACAACATCAAAATCAATAGTGATCTGTCGTCTTTACTGTAAGAAACTTGATGTTTGGAAAAGTTGTTGTACAGCTATTTTTTTCAGGTGTTATAAAATTATTGTTGTAATATCTCAGCAGTGTATATTCCTCTGTCATCCAGCTAGCAGTCTTGATTTCATGAGAGATTGAATGGTGTGTAAAAAAAGTAAAAGGAAAAAAAAAAAGTGAAAATGTTACGGTTTCCAGTAGTTTCTTTTCTTTGTTTTAAACAAAGTTAGAATGGTGCGTTATCAATGTAGTAAGTGTTGTCTGACCTGAAGGAAAGCATGGTCCTTCTTCCACCCTTTGATAGAAGCGATGCATCAACACCAGTCATCTGAACACCTGAGGTACACAATGTTCCATTTGTTTTTAATCATGCTGAATTGCAGACCTCCACTGCACCTTTTTCTTCATTCAGTTGCTGCCTCTGGTGTGGTAGGCGGCTGCTATAGCCTGAAAGAGAGCTCTGGAGCAAGAAAAAGGGAAGAGTATTAAGGCCATCTGCAAAGGAGTAGAGCAACTGAGTGAGGTGGAAAGGAAGACAGGGCTAATGGAAGTGGATTCTCATACAACCTCCCTTTACTAGGGAGATGCCTCCTTCTGCAGAGGAAGCAAAAGGAAGCTGAAATACATACCCATCAGAATGCTATCAGACTTTTATGTGCCCAGTGCTTCCCCAAAGAAGAAATTGTCTGCAGGTTTCAAAGGGGAAGAGTTGAATTTGAATGCAGAGGTATTTCAGAAGTTGTTAAAACCAGCTTCTCTTCAGGTGTAGCCAATTCTTCAACACCTGCTGTCAGCGCCATCTCCTGGTGCTTGGTCTGAATTACTGCTTTATATGCCACGTTGGTGGCTGTTCCAAGCACATACTTGAAAGTTCCATGTAAGTGCCCACTCGTGTACTAAAAACTTAAAAGCCTTCAGAATATTACTGAAGTATAATGTAAATGTATGCAGCTTTCCCCTGTTTGCCGGTGCTGTCCTGTTCAAGCAGTTAACCAGCTGTTCTCAAGATGTGTCAGGAGGATGGTGGTCATCAATTTTCTGGTCTAGAAAGGCTCCATGTTCTGTACATTCCTATAATAAATTAAAGGAGGAGTCTTATGGAGAGGGTTTATGAAGCTTAAAATAATATGACATTGCTACTTCAATTTTGACTTTTTCCCTAATTGTTTTTAGTGCGTAATTTTGGGTTCTTCTGGTGTCATAAATACAGTAGGTGGTATTGGAGAGTAAATGTGCATCACTGAGAAAATACTGAAAATGTTACCGCTTCAGAAGCTTTCAAGTCTCATGTGAATTTGGTTGAGTAGTCAAAAGACAGATCAGCAGATCATATGGTTTGATTAAAGTTTTTCTGTCATATCAGTGTTTTAATCTATTGAAGATTGTGCTTTAGGGAAAAATACCAACAAAACAAAATAGAAAACAAACAGTACAAACCTTGACATTCACATCAGAGGTATGGATTGACCTTCAGAACCTGATTCTTAAGGGGGGTGATAAAACATGTTGAGTCTGACTTTGGTTTTTGGGGTCAAGAGCATAGCCTTCCTCAGGGGAGATCTGACTTGCACATCAGTATACAAGAAATGCTGGACTTTTCTGATGTGTTGAAATGGAGCATTTAAAAAATTATATCCTTTATACGATTTTGTCTTTGAAGTTTTTGTTGTTCATTGTCTTTTCTGTTAAGAAAACAGTTTTGATCATATAAAGACTTTTTTACTGTTTGGTTTCTAGAGAAGGATTTTAATTTTTATCTGAGTGCTTGAGAATTGGGCTAAATTGTAACCAGATTTTCTAGAAGCTATTTACAGCAGTACAGAGTATCAAAACTTTGAAGTGGTTTAACTGGGAGCATTCTTATTGCTTACATTAGATTTCTTTTGACCTTAGTTATGTCAAAATGCTTTCTTAAAGTTTGTTATTCTGGTAGAAAGCTGTCTTGACTTCTTCAAGGAAGCTACACATTTTTACCACATAAAAATAATTAGCTGTAATAAATAATTCTGCATCTATGTGAGAAAGTGAATCTAGATCTTAACATACTGATATTATTGCACAGTATCTACCTCCTTTCAATGTGAAAATAACTACTACAAAAAGCTTGCATAACTTGAACTGGTACCTGTAAAAATGTACCTTAAAACTTCCAGCTGACAAGTGAATGGGAATGTACTAGTGCTATTAACTTGCTCTATATTTTTAAGCCTAATTAAAGATTGTCAGAATGCCAGCAGAATTCTGTAAAACGCATCCATCTTGTGTACTTCAGGTTGCCGGCAGTATGGCCTTCAGCAATGATTTCCCAGGTTTTCCAAAGAAATAGAGGTTTTATTAGGTATCTCATCTTGGCTTCATGCCTCTGTAAACCTTAATAATGTAGAGGAGTAGATGAAAAGAGCAGGATTAAGTGGACTGTTTATATAATAAGGACCTTTAAAATTTGGCTAAGGCAGTTAGCCAAAAGCATAGCCTTGAGTGCAAAAATATGAATTTCAATTTTAAAACTTAAATTTCTTGATACCTGCAGGCTGAACTAGCTTGTGTATTTGCATCCATAGCACAAAGGCTGCTATAGGTCTGTAACTGCTGTAGGTTATGCCTTATATCTATTTGCTCTGTATTGTCCAGAGCATCTGTACATCTGCTACAGAAAATGCTACTTCCAGTAGTGTTATAAAAACAGACTTGTAAAATGTAATGGCACAACTAGCTTTTGTTCTATGTCAGATACATGACTCTACACTTTGAGCTTAGTGGATAAAGATGATTCTGATAACCAGTTCCTCCAGCATCCCCCTGTGCTGTCCCTCTGTGAAGTGGTGTAACCACATTTTTCACCCTTTGTGGCTGATAGTTGGTTCTAGAGAATATTTGTGCCCCACTGCATCCTTTTTTCCTGTGTCTTCTTGCAGCTGCAATAGAACATCTTACTGAACTGCTGAAGAAATACTGAATTGCATGTCTGGACCATTTCCAGGTACCACTTGATATTTTCTGGTTGGTAGGGTTCATATGCCTTGCCAAAGCCATATTAGCAGGTGCCTTGCTTCTAATTTTGCCGAGAAATTCTGCTGAGCTGAAAGTTGCTTTTCTTGCCTGTCCTACCCTCCCAAGTGTATTCCTTCCTAGTGGTTTTCATTATGACTGGTAGTGGTAGTAGTGGTAATAGTAGTGGTGATGAGGGCTGACCAGCAAAAAGCTGAGAAGATAGTGAAGGTATTAATCCTGGGCATAGTTTTTCTCACTAGTGCTGCTGCTGATTTCTTAGGTATTTGAAATTGGAAAGTCTCCTTTTGCCCTGAATCTTAAGGTGATAGGTACTCCCATGGTGTTAAGATACAGTGTTTCTTTTAGTTCTGACTTCTCTTATCCCTTTTGGGCTTGTAAATAGCAATGACAAGGTGTAATGCAATCATGAAGCCAACCATGTACTCGATACAGTATCACTTCTATTAATCATGTCAAGGCCTTACTGAAATCTGATGTGAGCAGAAATCTTTTATGAGAAGTAGTTTTTGTCTTTTTTTTTTTAAATCTTTGACTAGATAAGGTGATCCTTGGATCATTTCAGAGTGCAGCCAGCTTTAAAAAAGAAACAAAAAAGCCCTATGTGTAAACAATCCAATCCTCTAGTCTCAAGTATTTTTCTGTAAAAGGCTTGCACTTGTTATCTAACTGTAAAGAAAGGGCTGATACTGAGAGCTTGGCATAGCTTGGTGCTACAAGAAAATAAATGGAGATAAGGCAGGCTGAGCAATACAGAGCTTAGCTAGCTGCTGAAACGAGATTGAAAAAAGCTGCTTTCCTCTGCTGGGTTTGGCTGGGTAATTTTCTACATAGTAGCTGTTGTGATACTGTGCTCCGGATTTCTGACCAAAATGGTGGTGCTAACACACACGTTTTCTGTGATTGCTGGTGCTTACACAGAGTCAAGGCCTTTTCTGCTTACACCTCCCCACCAGTGACTGAGCTGGGGATGCAGAAGCTAGGAGGGGACACAGCCCAGGACAGCTGACCCCAGCTGACCAAAGGATATCCCATACCATATGGTGTCATTGTTCAGCATATAAAGCTGGGTTAAGGAGAACGAAGAAGGGGGGATGTTTTCAGTGATGGCATTTTTCAGCATATAAAGCTGGGTTAAGGAGAACGAAGAAGGGGGGATGTTTGCAGTGATGGCATTTGTCTCCCAAGTCACCATTACATGTAATGGAGCCCTGCTCTCCTGGAGATGGCTGAACACCTGCCTGACCATGGGAAGTGGTGAATGAATTCCTTGTTCTGCTTTGCTTGTACACACAGCTTTTGCTTTACCTGTTAAGCTGCCTTTATCTCAGCCCATGAGTTTTCTCACTTTTACCCTTGTGATTCTCTTACCCTATCCCACTCACTCAGGGAGCAAGTCATCACTGTGTGGGGTGCAGCTGCTAGCCCACAACAGCAGTTACCACTTCCAAAGTCCTTATAGATGTGAAAAGGCAGGCTGTGGTCTCATGCAACAGTAGTTTTATTCTTTCTTGTACTGGTAAATGATAGTAACAAAACCCAAAACACAGCAATGTTTTGTATGTAAACACTTGAAACAGTTTTATTTTTTAAAAAATCATTTGTACAGTTGGATCATACAGTGTTCTGTACACCTTAAATTAAAAGCCTCCAGCTTTTAAAAATGCCACCCAGTACAAAAGTGCTAATGTAAAACTGTAGTGTTTATGCATATAAACCAGCACTACACATTGCTAAATATCACTCTAAATAGTCTCTTCACCAGTGTCAATGAGTGGAGTAGAGATGGAAGATCAGGCTTCATGGTGTTGAAGGGCTTCCTTCTTCCCCTTACAGTTCAGTTTTCAGGAGCTTCAGTGCTTTCTGCATATTTGAATACACTAGAAATTAAATATTCATAGATGTTATTTTTGATGCAGCTTCCTCTGCCAGCAACTACAAATACTGTAGAGAATATGTCACTGTTACCTAAGCTTTTGGTCATATGCATATTGCTATACAGATTCTGATGCACTGTGCTCTTCCAAGTGTTTTGTGAATGTCATCTGTTTAATTTTAACTGGTGAGAATATACATCTGTTAATGCAAATACACAGGCGTTTGCAGAGCTGAGGTGGGAGCTGTGCAGCAGTGAGGGAGGGCTCTAGCTAACAGCTCTTCCTATTCCCAGAGGGTTTCCTGGCCTGGCAGGGCTTCTGTGCCAGGATTCTCACTGTTGCTTACAGTGAGCACTGCTGAATTATGCAAGTTCCTACTGACGTATGCTTGCTTTCAAAACAGATAGATGTTTAAGGCTCTGGGGCTCTGCCACCATTCTCTTCACCTCACTGAGCTTAAGTCTAGCACCCTGTTTAATTTTAATCCTAGTTAGCTGTCATTCAGCAAGTGCTGACTGCGAGAGTCTGTGATGTCTGGTGTTATTCCTTGTCACGTGAAAAATGTGACTGCTTTCAGCATACCTCAGAGTGTTTCAGAATATGTCAGAATACAGTACTTACACAATGAAATGTCAGAGGGCTCGTATGCGTAAAGACGGTTTGAGTATCTCCCAGTAATATCTGCTCTCACAGTCAGGGAAGGATCTGGAAAATAAGGATGAGAAATGCTGCAGAGGACAAATTAACTTTCAAGCAGAAGATAAACCTTTCTGTGCCTCTGCTTACTTCCTAAACATTTCTGCAGGACCCATCCACTTCCACTAGCAACCAAGAGATCGTTCTACAAAGTCACTGACATTTCTGTTTTAAATGTTTGTAGGTTGATGAAGAGGGGAATAGATTTAATTCTGATCAGGTTGATCAGCATGGCACCCTGTGCTACTGCATAGAACCTGGAGTAATTCTGCGAACTGAGGCTGCTTTCAGGCTACAAATGTTACTAAAAAAGAAATAATTAAGGAAGAGATAATGTGAGTTGCTTTGGTCTGTTGAAAAGGGGCATCATGACCTAGGGTTATAAAGGTATGTGTTAATGATGCATGTGTGCAGTATGGGAGGCTGCAGACCTGTTCTGAGAGAGGGTATAGTTGAATGCATGCATGGCCTCTAACACCTCTCCAAAATGCAAATGCTTTGGGGGGGTTCTGTGCATGTTAGGGGAGCTTAGAACTGAACACTGAGCTTTGAAATTCAGCCCCTGAAGCACTGCTATTCCTGCAATGTCCAAGGTTGTGTTGCAAAAAACAATCTGTCAGGTTTACAGTATTTCTAGAGATAGGAGGGTGAGCAAGGCTGAGCCAGTGCCCATTCTATGGCATCATGTCATTTCGATGGAAGGAATTACATCATTCATGGAATCCCTGAGGGAGGAATGCTGGAACTGTGAAGCTAGTGACCCAGCTGTATTGCTTTGAAGTCTGATGCAACAAAACCAACCAGAAATTTCATCTTTCCCATGGAATAAATTAATAAGACTGCAGGTTTGAGATGCATGGCACAGCAAGGGCTTTGACCCCAGATAAGCTTTCATGCTTGAGGTACTCACCTATGAACAAAATCCGAGGGACATACTGGCCATCAGGGGAAAGATTCTTGTCTGTGGTTTCATACTTAAGGAAAACAAAGAAAGTTCCCAGTCAAGGAGGGCATAAATACTTTTTTTCCTTCATTGTACTTTGTCTTACGAAATACACCTCAAATAACTTTGCTGTTTAAGACATTCACTGTCTGAGTGCAATCTTTTAACAGCTGGAGTTGCAAATTGGTAACAACAGCTCACATTATTAGGAAACCTTAAATTCCCTCATATTTTTAGTTTATGATAGCTACAGGTGAAAGAGACTTGCTACTAAATCTGTTATGCTTCAGCAGTAGCCAGTTTCCTAGCCATTAAACTGACTAATTATATCTAGAGGAGCCATAATTAACATTAGAACTTTGTTGCATTCACTCACTGAAGTGTAACTGGGAAACTTACCACAAGGTTCAGGAGAATGAATTTTTCAGCCAGTTTCTGTATGTCTTTGTGTTCAGCAAAGACCTTCTTGAGGGCTGGAATGGAAACAAATGGGAATAAAAATTAAAAATATGCCCCTGAGGTCTATTCTTCTTGAAAAAGAAATTCAAACAACATGATGGAATCAAAGTGAGAATTCCCAGTTTACAGTTACAGCGAAAGGAGATTTTTCATTCCACTGGAAAATGATAAACTCATTCATATTCTGTGATAAAGAGTAATTATAATGGTACAAAATGTCTCTTCTTCCTTCAGATAGTGCCCCTCACTCTCAAATTTGTCAGCTTAAGCTTGAATTTGAGCATTTGACCCTCTAAGTGCTATTCTACTACTGCTGTTCCTGGCTCCAGTTCTTAAGGCACTACCAATACAGCGTGTAAGACTGCAGCCTGAAATGCTTGAAAGGATTTTAATGCTTGGTCAAATATCCTTCTGCATCCATGGCAAAGGTCTTGCCTCGTGGGTCAGCTTGCAGGAAGAAGGGCCCTCAGGTAAGTTCAGAAACAGTGGGAAAAGAGCAGTCCCGCTTCCCAGAAATCACGCAAGAACTCAGTGTCCAGCCTAGTATGGTTTAGTCCCTGGCCAGATTCAGTTGCAGTCATCAGTGATCTAGAGAGCTGAGTATGTCCTTTCCAATACATTGTGGTTCACTACTGGTCTTGTTATTGGTTTTGGCTGATCGTGACACCGAACAAAACCACATTTGTTACAGGTCAAAACCTGCTGACCTCTGCTTGTTTCTGTATCCATTCTGTATCACGTTAACACTGAACTACCATTTTTATTTTACTTCTGGACATCAGAAAAATACCTATGTGGGACAGTGTCTTGAAGAACGCTCCAAGTTAGTATTTCACTAAGCCACCAGAATGGTGGCTGCTGATATTTTTTAAGCAGCAGTTATCCAGAAACCAAAAACCTGATGATTTTGTTAATTCTATTTCTGTGCAAAGGGATTACCTTGGCTGTGCGGGCAGTCATCCAGGTGGTGGATAATCATCAGGGGCTTGTTGCTGGAAAAGAAGAGCCCTCATTAGGGGATGGGGAGGCAGAAGGGAGTTCAGGGGGATGTGGGGTGCGGAGTGGGGCACAGTACCCGTGCTTGGCACGAAAGAGGGCTTCCTCGTAAGTCTGTGTCCAGATGAGCTGGTCTCCCCAGCCTGCAGGGGAAGAACAAGCAGCATGTTTTAAGCAGGGCCACGGATTCAAAATAATGACTAAAGGGGGAAGGGGTACTAGGAAATACTAGAAAATGTATTTGCAGAATGAGTGGCAAGAAAATTAACGTAGTGGAACTGCAGAGGAGTCAAAACTTCAGCAAACCGCACCTCTTTTGTGTGTGCATGTGGGTGGGTTTTTTGTTTGTTTTATTTTTACCTCTGGAGAGTGTCTGAGGCAGTTTGGGTTTAGCAGTAGTCTCCTTTGTCTCCTTCTTGCCCGCATCCTTTGCCAGAGCACAGGAAATGGCAATGAGCAGCAGGAACATGGACATGTAACTCTTCTCCATGGTTGCTCCTGGGAACAGAAGAGAGAAAAGTGATGAGGCCATGCCTCCCAGGCTAGTGCTTGCTTTGAGGCACACAGCAGATAAGGACTTCAGAGCAGCAGCAGCAGCAGGTCGAGTCACAGGTATGCAGCTGGGTGAGTCAGGGCTGAAACAAAGTGCTCCAGGCAGGGGCCTGGGCTTGGGGAAACAGCAAGGCAGTGTGCTTAGCAAATTGCCAGGAAGTACCTGCCTGCTTTCTCCTGCCCTGTTCGTGCCCTTGGGCTCTGGTCCTTTGAAGATGCACATGTTTGTGTTAGTTTTTCTCTCTTCTTTTTACACATAATGAACTTGCTCAGTAAAACAACTGAGCTTTGGAAATTCCAAAAGTAATTGCAGGTGCTAGTAAGTTCCCAGTCCTACCCAGTGTTACAGTAACCTAGCAGCAGGTGCTGAAAAATTAGCTTGTCCAGCTCTTCTTCCATTTTGCAGTAGGAGCAGCTCAAATGGGAAGTCAGAATGGTCAAGTTAGCTTGTACAGTGAGACACTGTCATAGGCACAGCTTAATGCTGCTGTTGAAACTTCTGACCTGGTCTTCCCCCTTAAAAGCATGATCTAATCCTTAAAACCAGTAGAATCTATCATAAAGAGTGTGTGTGGGGGGAGGGTTCTGTATGAAACAGTGAGCACTGAAATGGAGTTTGCTGGTGTAAGCAACACCAAGCAGAGAGTTTTTCCTGAGCCAGACTCTGGGGCATGGGAATGAGACATGTCAGCTCCTCAGTGTTTCAGCTGGGATGTTTCTCTGATGGGGGAAAATACTTCAGCAACATGACCCTGTATTTTCTCATTAGATTTCCTCCTAGAAACTAGAACACCAATGTAATGAGTACAGCAAGAAAAGCTACGATATTTCCAAAGCCATACAGAAAACTCAAACTATTAATGCAAACTGCAACAGGCTGACAGTTTTTAAAATTCAGACAATGAAAATTAAACTCTAGGGAAACAGCATTTTCTGGGTAGGAACTGCAGGAGGAAATGTAAAATGAGTTCCCGTCAGAGGTACAGCACTCTTTGCTACTGGGATGTCCAGTAGACTTCAAACATCCACAGAGTCATTGTTTTAAGGTCATGAAATAAGACTATTGCAGGAGACTGGCTTTCTGCCCTAAGAAAGGTCTTCTTGCCAAGGAAGAAAATTGTATAAAGTAAATTAAACCCAGTGGATTTTCAGGGTTGCCTCAAGAGTTGTTTTGGCCAGAGCTGTAGAGTGGAAATAATGCTTCTTTAAAAGAAAAAGAGAAAGAACTTATGGAACAACCAGGAAATAGAAGACCAGGTAAATTTTATGCTGTTGCTGATCCAGAAAGCAGAAAGCAGAGGAACATTAGACCTGCTCTTTAAAACTTTCCTTCTAGAAGGCTATGTGCACTCTTCTAAGTTTTCTACTTTCCCCCCTAAAACCTTCCTCTCCTGGTTCTTTTAACCTGCAAAGCCAGAATCTCCCTGCACAGTTGTTTTTCATAGCAAGCTGTGCTGAACTGTGCCTACTTTGCTGCAGTTCCTTTCTTTCTATGGGTCGGCCACCCAGTTCCAGGTAACCCTAGCTCAAAGCTCCCCATTACTTTCTAAAGCAGTAAGCATGCTCCACCTTACCTTGTTTACTCTCCCAGATGCTTGCCCCTGTGAGAAGGTGATTCTGGTTACAGTGTGAATGCTGCCGATCCTACTGCCTATTTATGCACCTTCACACACCCAACTCCACCCACAGGCTTTGGACTTGAATACTACTTACAAAGAACTAAACTTTCAACTTTTTTTCCCTACCAAAACACTCAGGGTTAATTTTGTAATTAAATAACATCACATTTTCTTGTCGGAAGTTGCAGCTGGAGCCCACAGAAGTTTCTATAGACTTTTGGGACATTTATTGGAAGGTGCTTTTCAAAGACTGGCAAAGATCCAAGTCCAGGTAAGCTTAAATCAGACTCCTGATTTGCCTGAAGACTGATTTGTCTTTTCTTGATTGGTTGAAAAACCAATTTGGGTCATTGTTCTTTTAGTCCTTTGAAAAAGTTAAATTGATGACTTGGAGCTTTAGATTTTAATTAGATAATTAACTATACACATTCTATAGATATGAGTGTATATGTGCGCTTATAACAGCACATAGGAAAACTGTAGTAAAGCCTAAAAGTTTACAAAGATCACCACAAAAAGCAATGTGCTCAGAAGCTGTAACAATGAACTGTGTTTGTAAGTGGAGGTCTAAATAAATATTTAATTCAAATTCTATGCTTATATGCTTAGTTCTGTAGGCATTTATTTTTAACTACAACACGAAAATCAACCGTTTTAGGTTTCAGATACAGTGCAACGCTCAGGAAAACAAGACCTTTTTAGGTGGCTGGCAGGCCATCCCTCCTGTTGTACTGACTGCAGATGGCCCTTCCTCAGAGGTCAGTGCGATGCTGTCCTCTGTTATATATGTTGAAACTACAGCATGTTCTCCTTGGTGCATGCCTCATATATTTCAGTGAGATTAAAATCACATGTTCATGGCCAGCAAGCACTTAACATTACTCAGTTGGGTAGATGAAATCCATCAGATACGAATTTCCCTGTTTGAAATTCACAGTGCTCTCTGATGTCTGCTAACACCACCCATTTCTTTATGAATATCCTGAAGAGAATGTGGTTCTTTGGGTCATGCTTTGTTGTTTTGTTTGGGTTTTTTTTTTTTAATCTTTCATAAATAGTAATTGGGAAAACAAATTGCAAAAGCAAGATGGTGAACTGAAGCAAAAGAAAAATATTGCTGTTCCTCACAAACGTACAGTAGTGCTGTGCTTTGTTTAGATGCTTTACATGTTTGAAGGGTGAAACCAAAGCTCTCGAGATCAGTCATTTTAATTCCTATTTTTGTGTTTTTTATAATAAATTATGTTTTCCTGATATAGAAATTAAATGGGAAAGTTTGCATATGAATTCCTGCAACTCCTCCCGCACTTCTCCCTGAAGATTCAGAGATGTATTTTGTTAGCTTCTATATTGTGTATCCAAATCACATCCATGCGGATTTTATTCTAAAACATATTCCGAAAAAGTTTCCAAGATCTGCATTTAGAATTGGGAACACTCGCTTTGCACGATCAGGTTACAGCCTGTAAATGTAGGAGTCAAACATTAGGTACCCATTTCTCAAATCTTGGTCTCAGCTCAAGCAATTCATAACTGTGATTTAACATGCTTTTGCTGACTGTCTTCTCAGGTCACACCTAGTAGCATTTGGTAGTTTTAAAGCCTGTAGCAGAAGCTCTGTTTGCTCTTTGGTGATGTGAAGAGGTGAGGAGCACGTAGGCTCCCACTCACATGCTTTTTAAAAAAAATTGGATTTTGTCTAAAATATATCCTTGAAACTAAGCCCCCACCTGCCCCTTGGCTCCTGCTTTAGATGTATTTCCATTTAACCTGCACCTTTGCTTTCTCCTGTTTTCAGGAGATGCACTTAGCTTATTCCCACATAGCTTTGTGTTGAATTGTTTCCTGTAGGAAACTCAGTAATTCAAATACAGCTACTCACAGGGACTTCCCTGTCAGCTCAAACCTGGTGATCTCAATGGAGTTGTTGAACATGTCTCCAAACTATCCTTGTGCCTTGTTAATGAAGGGAGGGGAGCTCAGCCTTTCCCACAGCTCCTTGCTTTGGTCCTGAGACTGGACCCAGCCTCTGAGTTAGCTTCTGCCTGTTTATCAGGGGCTATTTTCTCTTTCCCAGTGACTAACTCCTGCAGGAATTGCCCCAGGAGAGCTTGGAACAAAATAGGACAATCACAGAAGGTCTTTTGCTATAAAGATCTGGTAGACTCCATTTACCATTAATATTTAGTATCTTTACAAAATTAGTAATTGGATTTTTCTTTTGATTTTAATTTCTCTGGTCTGGATCTTCATTATGTTACACAGAAATGTCTGTGTTGCATATGCTGGTGGAAAAAAGAATTACATTGTAATTGAAATCCTGATTTAAAAAGCCAGGTTAGATGTGTCTTTGAGTAAGCTGGTCTAGTGGAAGGTGTCATGGCAGAGGGGTTGGAATTAGTTGATCTTTAACGTCCCTTCCAACCCAAACCAGTCTGTGATTCTATGAAATCAGCACAGTATCAGGGCAATGATGTTACAGGTGTTTTGAAATAATTTTCTGAAGTGCTTTGGTTTTCCTTGTGTTTTGTAGCACATACTATTTAGGATTCAGCCATTTCTCCTAATTTAATCACAAACATGTGCTTCCAAGTCTTGTGATCTGCTGCTCAGAATAAATAGGAAAATTTGACATTAGAGGAGTAAAAGTAATGAATAAAATGTATAGTCATTCCCACACGAGAAATACTCTCAGTAAAAGCTGGAGACAGCCATATCTGGGAGTCACCGAGCTCCCAGTGCTGTTAAAGTAGTAGTAGGTTGTATGATGTGGTGGTTGAAAGTAGAATGTGTTAGTTTGAGAACTGTCAAACTTCCTTTGTCAATGCTTTAACCACATTAACTGCATAATAATTTTTTATCGTCTGAAAGCTGCTTGGGTGCAATTTGGCTGATAATTTTTCTGGAAAGAATCCCAACCCAAAATTTAAGACAACTCTGACACCTATGTCAGATTTAATTTGCCCCGCAAGTAATTGAAGCCTTTGTCTTGAGGATTATGGGTAGGTGCTTTCTGGATTGGGGTATGGCAGTCACTCCTGTCAAGACTGTTTCTTTTTGTATAATAGTAATATATGCTGGAGCAGGTACCAGACCCCAGATACCTCACTTCCCAACTTACTTGTTCATCTGTTTGGCAAGAAAGTGATTTTTCTCAGATTAGCAAAATCAGGAAATGTTTGCTAATTCATGCAAGTGGAAAGCACTGCTAAAGAACAGACTAGGAAGGACTTGATATTTTATATGTGGCCCAGACATTCCCCTGAGAGTTGGAGGATCATGGTTCAACCATTCTCCTGTCTACCCTATTTTCAGTACAAAGCCACATTTCAATGCGAAGCTGCAAAGTCAAAAGTTCAGCATATTTCTGCTGCTGAACACTTAAAGCTGGTAACTGGAGCTCAGGAAAATCTGATGATTTGTCTTGAAAGATGTGATTTCCCAGAACATGTCAGCCCAACACTTTCCTCTTTTTTTGTTGAATGAATGACTCAATTAACTTGCAGTACTTGCAGTTTATGGCAAAATTTTTCAAATTGGATAGCAGAAGAGATGGTTAGGATTTAAAATATGACATTCTGATTCTTTGATCACTGCTTTCAGAGCAAAACAGCAACCCATCAGGATTTTGAGACCTCTAAAAGCATTCTTTTCCACTTGCCTGTGCATGTTTACAATACAAATCACCACTACTTGATGTAAATTGACAGGCTGGCAAAAAAAGCATGGAGCATCCTTTACATAGCTTTGGATAAAGGTGGGGATTTATCATGTAACTAGTTCTTATATTATACACTGGTTTGAGCTGTGAAGTACTAGGATGTCTGGAAGGCATTTCCAAATGACATGTTTTAAAATCAGTAAGTCATTTGAACACCAATAGTAAGTATACTTATCGTTGCATTGTTTAATAGCTTTTTTCCCAATGGTAAGAAAACTACCATGCTCTTGTTACACCAAGGAGTGTCAGGGTTTTCAGCATATGTGGGACTTAAATTGCTCAGCTTGTGTTTGGTAAGAGAAGGCTTGATTCTGACAACATTTAGATTTAACTTTGAAATGTTTTGTTCAATCAAAACAAGGGAGGCAGTGAATGAGTGAAGAGGGATTCTTTGAGAGGGATTGGAAAGCTGAGGGTGTTTCACACACTGCAGAGGAGACTGTTTATCTGGTTTTCTTAACTGGGTAAGTTGGGTATTATTTGCAAGGCTTCATGCCTGAAATTCTTGTGTTTAACTTAAGTAAATGTATTTTGATTGACTGAAATGACCAACTGTGTTTAAATCCAGAAGATTTGCTGTGTTCCAGGATTAAAGACAATGACCCCTCCCGTATCTGAATAACTGATACTCAGTTTTGAGTATTGCTTGAAATCTGTAAGCCAGCAGTTTCCTGTTTTTAATATACTGTAATATATGAGGATGGTGGGAAGACCTTTGTGATTTGGACAGCTTAGTTTTGTATTTAGTATCATATGGATAATGGCATGAAGATTCAAACTTTGTTGAACTAATTCTTGGAAACCTGAGAGTGAAGTTGTCCTTTCGTCTCTCTGGGTAACATGTACCAGTGCTACACTATCGTCTGCATAAGAATGATTTTCCTAATGTCTACTGTCATCCTCCCAGACTACAGCTCATGGAAAAGTTTGAATCCTTCATCTTTGTAGCACCCGTTCAAGTAGTTTCAGGCTGCTATTACGTAGTACCTTATCCTCCTTTTCAAGAGATTGGACAAGCCCAGCCAGCATCTTGAATTTTAGTAGAGAAAGTCAGTTATGGCAATAGACAGAATGTAGAATACTGTACTTGGGGGTAAGGGGAAAGAGAAAACTCTCCCCCTATAAAGGGGTAGTTCCTAATGTTGAATGTGTTCTGAAGGCTTCTCACTGCCATTCTTGTCTGCAAATACAGACATAATATACTTCCTTTTGTTACGCAGTATCTTAATGACATATTGTAGACCACTTCTTTTCCTTCTCATTGCATAAAGTCATTCTGTTTTACAATGCCTCAAACTTCACCTTTTCCTTAGTGTTTTGGGTTTAGGTTGACTATGTTCTATGCTATGGTGATGTTCTGGATCCCA